TCTGTGTTACAACTTCTGTATTATATCTCTACTTATAGCTCACTAGAAACTACCTTAGTTTCTTTTTACGTCTAGGTGTCCCTGGGTTCAGCTGTAGTTATGAATAAAACATTTAACCACTCGATAAAACACAGAAACTGTAATAAACTTTATGGCACATATCACATGCTGGTCTCTCTCCTTTCTTACAACTAACACACTTCCGGTCATTCGCACATTTGTAAAAATAGAATATACATACACACATTCATCCATGACAATCTGTAATAAGAGATAATATAAATAATTTTCAAGCCATTGTGCTATTATAATTTGAGGTCTTGGGATTCTTTTCTCAATTAACTGATATGAACTTTAATGATGTTGTTACTATATTATTAAATGATGTTGTTACTATGATATTTTAAATAAATCCAGATTTAATGACTTGATCAACACAACTTAAGCTTAATGCAGAGATTTCTCTTTTAGCAACACAACAAAAAAGAACATTTATAGAGTTGGTGGCTTTTTCTAAATTGCTTTTGTATAGGGCCAAAGCAAGCCACAGTTCCCTCTCTTTCATACTGAAAGTTCAAGTATTTAAACATGTTGATGAAAAATAAAGGTGGAATAAACTTTACACTAAATTTTACCTTAAACTAAGATATATCATTATCTCAATAACTATTATATACGTAACTAAGAAATATTAATAATTTTTGCAAATGACCCTTACCATTACTTTCACTATTTTGTTTTTAGGCCATTGGGGAACCATCTCTCTGCCTTGCCATTTCTGTTTTCATGGCTATTAAGGCAGCCATCAGGGCTGCCCGCTTAGAATCTGGTTATACTGGCCACTTTACATTGGATTCTCCTGCTACACCTGACAGAGTACGCATGGCTTGTTTGGACAGATTTACAGAACAGGTGGGAAAATTTTGAATTATACAATCAGCCATAAAATAATAATAATCATAATAATAATGTCAATGTCTTCAACTCCAAAGATTAAGGATGAGTGCAGCGTTTCACATGACTATGCCAACCCAGTTGTGACATGCATATTTTTCCACATCTTGTACAATTGAAATGAGTATTTTTGCTGATGGCCCTTCCCCTTTCCAGACAGAGTTTGTGTAATTTCACATGAATTTATCATAACTATTTTAAGAAAGACTTTGCTTTGGAAAGTCATAATTCAAACGAAACACAGGCCTGCATTTTTTAACTTTTGGAAAATTGTTTTAATTTTGAATGCTGAATATTATGTAGTTTAATGTGCTGATTTCAAAATTGAAACCCGTTTTTTTCTATCACGTAAGATTTTTTAGCAAAACAAGAAAAAAAAATGATACGAAAATGAGAAATTTAAAAAATTGTCATGAAAAATATTTGCGTTTTATCATAGTTTTCATGTCATTCAATGTGTATAAAAATCACATAATATAGATTTAACAATTAATAAATGTAATAAAATTTAAATTTATTTTATTCTTTTCCATTATGTCTTGTTCTCTTTTTTTCAAAACTTCTTTTTTGACATTTCCGTTTATAAACTTTTTCTGTTAATTCCCTTTTCAACATCCAGCAGTAGTCAGCAATCATGTTGACATTCCAACGCCCTTGATATCTTCTTTCCATTTCCTTGACATCCTGGTGAAACCTTTCACCTTGTTCTTCACTTACTGCTCCGAGGTTTTCTGGAAAGAAATCAATGTGGGAGCTGAGAAAATGGAGTTTCAAACTCATTGAGCAACCCAATGTTTTTAGTTTTCTGAGCATGTTTTCAACAATGTCTTTGAAATTTGGATCCTTATAATTCCCAAGAAATTTTGCTACCACTTCTTTAAATGATAACCAAGCCTCTTTTTCTGCAACATTCATTGTAGCTTCAAATGTAGTATCTTTCATCATCTTGCGAATATCTGGACCTACAAAAACTCCTTCTTTCAATTTTGCTTCAGATAAGTTAGGGAAGTTTTTTACCAAGTATTGAAAACAAGGACCATCTTTTGGCAATGCCTTAACAAACTGCTTCATAATTCCAAGTTTAATGTGAAGTGGAGGTAAAAGAACTTTTTTCGGATCTATGAGATTTACATTTAGAATATTTTTTACACCAGGCACTAGTTCTCTTCTTGGCCATTCTTTTTTAACCCAATGTTGGTTTTTATCTCTACTGTCCCACTCACATATAAAACATGGATATTTTGTATACCCTCCTTGTTGCCCTAATAGCATTGATATTACTTTCAAATCTCCGCAAACGGTCCATTGATGTTCATTGTATTTGATTTTAGACAATATCATTTCCAAATTTTCATAACGCTCTTTTAAGCGGACTGAGTGGGCAACTGGTAGTGATGCAAACTTGTTACCATTATGAAGAAGCACTCCCTTCAAACTCCTTTTTGATGCATCAATAAACAACCGCCAGATGCTGCAATCATATTCAATATTAAACATGTTCATCAACTTTGCTACATCGTTACAGTAAACTAATTCCTCATCCTGACTAAAAAATGAAGTGAAGTCTTTTTCGCGGTTTCTGTACCAACAGAAAGATGTGTTTGCAGCCAGAAGATTTTTCTCTTTCAGTCTAGAACCCAGCAACTCGGCAGATTCTTTTGATAAATTTAAATCCCTGACTAAATCATTTAACTCCTGTTGTGAAAATTGTTGAGGCTCATTGCTAGGAATACTAAACTCTTCTTCAGATATATTATTTTCTTCATCTGATATGACAATGTTGTCTAGTGATTCAGGAACAGAAGGTATAGGAACATCTGGACCATGAGGCACAGGACGAATAGCACTTGGAAGACTTGGATAGAAAATTTCTTTTTTGTTTTTTAAATTGTAACCATCCACATTGCATGTACAAAAATAACAATCATCAGAATGATTTCGTGCTTCTCTCCAGATCATAGGAATACCAAAACGAAAAAATTTCTTTTTACCTTGCGGTATAAGACAATTTTCTCCTTTTAGAAGACAAATGCTGATTTTGGCAAAAATCTGAGGGTGATGGAATTTTTTACTTATTTTTACTGAAATCAGCGACCAAAGTTACATAAGATTCAGCATTTAGTTTTTAAACAATTTTTTCATTGTAGGCCTGTGAAATTTTTCAATATAAGAGTCACGGTTGAGATGAGTTCAAAAGCCAGATAATCTTTTCCTATTCGCTTTTTTCCAACCTTTACTCTATCTCATATTTAGGACTATAACTCACAATTTATACTTGAATTTTATTGAACACTATCTATTGTATAATTTTTTTTTCGGCGGCGATTCTCAAAGCCTTAATCTAAATATGTGGGGTATCTTTTCTTTTCAAAGAACAAATTGGTTTTATTTGCAATGTATTAAGGGACTATAAATTCATATTAGAATATTTTGCAACATTTTTCAAAAGGTCCTTTATAATAGAATGAATAATGAGCTGTAGGTCAGGAGAATGCATTTGCAAGAAAACGCTTTTGGCGTCAGGGCTTCGTCCGGACCTCACTGATTAAAAATAAGCAGTAGATGTAAGGAGAATGCATTACTGCAGTGAAGAATGCCAGAAAATGCTTTTAGCGACAGGTCGAAGCCCCGAACCCCACTAATAAGTAATGAGCTTTAGATGTCAGGAGATAGCGTTTCAGCCGTGAAAAATGCAAGAAAACGCTTTTGGCGTAGGGGCTTTGCCCTGAACCCCACTGAGGAAGCTTACAGCGCTCTCCCAGACCCCCAAGTTTGCAAGAGAAAGGCCTCAACATGACTGTTTTTTGTTTTTTTTTGGGCTGAAGATTAAGAAACACTGTCTTATTTTATTCTCATATATATATATATATATGCATAGGGTTAGGGTTTACTGGGCGTAAGGGTTAGGGTTTGGAAAAAAATGCCCCCCCCCCCCCCCCTCCAGAGTTCTGGATCCGCCAGTGCAGTGCTTATCATCATTTAGTTACATTCTTTATTTCATTTGTTAGTGCATAATTGTGTGCACTGGTCTAAACTACATTATTAAAATTTAAATAACAATATAAATGTTATTCTATTATAGTGGAAACCATTAGTTGGTGTATGTTAAACTACCTTAAATGCAATTCAACAATGGCTAACTGACACAAACATTAGCAGAGTGGATGGCTGCCTGGTCATGCTGTTTGCGGGCTGGACAGTCGTTCGGATATATTAATAGCCCTAGGTTCAAACCCTGCCCAATCCCATCCCCCATCATTCTGGAGGAGATGACTGGGAAGAAAATTATCTTCAACTCTAGGAACATCCGGAACATGTAAAACTTTTTTGAACATTTTTATAGAGAGTTGAATTAAAAATTGCAAAAATACTACACACTGCACTAAATTAATCACACATATTCTCTAGCCTATATTTACAAATGATTAATTTTATCTTATTACTATTTTATTTTACAGTTTCTACTGGATGATCAACAAGACAAGATACAACCTTATTTTGTTCGTCTCTAAGATGCAGAGTTGCTCAGTTGTGTGAAAAAAATGGCTACTTTTGGTCTTCTGAAAGTGTAACCTTTTGATTATGAAATTAAATATGCATAGTGTATAATGAAGTAATTTAGTCCTTCTTTTGTAATTAGTATTAATAGGTATGTATATACTTTATTCATTGAAATGACAAATGCAGCAACATGTATAGCATTATGTCACAATTGCCTAACCACAAACATGAGATTTCCTGTGAGTTTTCAGACGTTGTAAGAGAATTTATTAAATATTAGAAATTTTGAGAGGAGCAACATTGTCACTTCATGATACCTAGTAGGCATACCAGATGACACTATCTTTTTCCCTCCTCTGAAATATTACAAACATTTAAATAAATTCACATCATCTGGGAAGACGAGTAGGTAAACAATAAACAAGTCCACAATCATAATGTTGAGACCACAATAATAAGGTTGAATTCCACAATAATAAGGTCAAAGTCCACAATCATAATGTTGAGACCACAATAATAAGGTTGAATTCCAGAATTCCACAATAATAAGGTCAAAGTCCACAATCATAAGGTTGAGACCACAATCATAAACTTGCAGAGCAAACATTTATACAAAAAAGAAGAGAATTAGCCTATAGTCTTAGTTTTGGAATGATAACTATAAAAAAAAACAACAAATTAACCCCTGACACCAATGTAAAATGTGTAAACATATAAAAAAATAAGAAATATCTCATTTTAGATTGCACTTTATTCTTTCTTAAGAAGCACTGTTACAATGTATTTTACTTGCAAATTGTAAAATATTCATTTATATGTTCTTTTCAATAAAGTTCTCAAACTTACTACTAAAACTTTGTGATTTTAATCTTATTATGTTTGAAAATTGACTTTTGTCCTAGAACTTGTCTTAAAGCAGTTAATGAAGTATCACATTATTAGAAGTTGTAGTACAACTGTCAAATTTAAAGTGCAAAATGTCATTGTAGCTTAACTAGAGTTGATAATTTGTTTTAGTCCTGACTGAATTATAGGTTCAAGATACGAAATCTTAAACTAAATGAGAGAGATCTAGCAGTCACTAATATAGAATAACAAAGTATCATAAGAATGGGATGAAAGTAGTGTCAAATATTGAGTCAAATGACAGATGATGGCCCTCTGCAGTAGCTTTTTTTTTTTTTTAAATATCTTCTTTGTTGAGTGATTCCCAAAGTGGTCTGTATAGAGTCTAGACCCTTAGGGATCTACGACGAGTTTCATGGGGTCTATGTACGAGAAAAAATGAATTGAGGATCTTAAAATGTAAACGAAGGTCCATGATAGTGGCTCGTGACTTTATTTTTTAATTTCCTACAATCTGAATGACCTCTAACACACTTATTTAATTTGCGGCACGAATCGATGCTATGACCTCATTCTACGCCATTCTAGAAAAGTGTCTGAAGTAAACACTGTTAATTATAATTAACCAATCAGAGAAAGAGGTCAGGAAAAAAGTCGCAAAGCTCAGTTTCTAGAAGATGATAATAAAAATATTTGGAATAGAAGTTTCTGGTATTCTAGAAAAGACGATTTCAAAAAGGTTTAAATTGGGGAAAATTGAGAAAGTCGGGATCCTAGAGTTGTTACAGGTCCTTTAGCATTGCGGGTCCATGATTTGTCAAGTAGAAAGATTAGTTGTATCGATAGAAAGTTGTATTAGTCTAAAGTTGTATTGAAGTTGTAACATTTTAACTAAGAACAGTATTTTGTGATTTTATTTGCAATAATTTTTTGTCAAAATAATTCTGAATTGAGAATCAACGAAGGCCATAATGTTCTGCGTTTGAAGGAGTTCATTGAAAAAAGGAAAACAGAAGTTTCTTCAGTGGCAAGGGGTCTACGAGACAAAAAATGTTTGGGAACCTCTGTAATATACAAAGAACAGTTTTATTTGGAATTAATTACAAATTATTACAAACTTTTTAACAAGGGAGCTCATCAAAATCGTTCAAAGTTGGTTTGCTTTATCACGATTGCATCCCCTGGACCATAAACAAAAAAAACCTTCCTGATCGAGACTTTAAAAAAAAAAAAAAAAGCCTAGATCCACGAGTTATCAAGTGATCTACTTACATATTTGACCCCACTAAACCTTTGCCCACATTGCCTAATCAATTCGCAGAGGCTCCGTTTAAAGGAACTTGAAGCTTTTTGCAGCGATACAGTTCGTAAAGCTATAAGGCCAAAATAGTGGATTAAGTGAAATTCAATTGAACTTGAAAAGAGTTCTCATCACAGATCTATATATAGAGACAGAACTAACTTTAAATGCTACCACTGTCACGCTGTCGTCTATACAAAAAAAAAATGATGTAGATTTTTTGTATTGCACAGTAGTTACAACAAGGTAGTTTGTTTTTTTCAGTTATAGCTTAAGTTATAGATATAACAAAAAATGTACTAATATTGGATCTAAGTCTTGTCACTTCAATATTAAAATAACACTAAAAAATGTATCCCTTTACTTTTATTGTGTTGACTATACAACAACGTACGCAAGCGCGCAATCTGTTTGTATTCTTATACTATTTTGGCTAAAAACAGTCGAAGTTATCAGCATAAAAGTAGATTGATGTCACAGATTTAGCTACTTCTTTTTAAAATAGGGTTTATCTTTTAAAAAAAAAGATCATTAAAAACTGAAGGTAGGCTATAGGCTACATTTTTTTAAATGGCGAATTCGAGGAATCTTTAAAAAAACAACTATGAATACACATTCAGATTTGAAGATAATTACATCCAACAGTCCAGAGTGCATACGACACGACCACACAGCAGCAGTTAATAGACAGCCAAAAAGAACACAAAATTTGAACTAGGTTTTACTTTCCGATTCCCCACAAAAAAATCATAAAACGTTTTACCAAAATTAATAAAAAGAAAAATGACTATAACTAATGCACGGAATGCTATGATATACTTTAACAAACACATAACTTGCAAGTGCACCTGGAACTCTCATTAGGTTACATGTACTAACTATTAATAATTATCTTTAATTGACAATGAATTTTACAAATTCAATTCCAAAAGAAACCTTTGGAAACATCGAAGACGAGAATTTTCACCGAACAAATTTGATATCAATGTTACATAGCCACATGCTCGTATCCGAGTTAAAAAAACAACTGTGGTGGTAATGCAATGCAAACCGCGTTCGGGGTTTATCCACATCATTTTCTACATTTTTTAAAACTGACATCAATGCCTAAAACTTTTCATGGGTGGAGCCTAAAACCTGGACACGAACCTCGAACATGGCTATGACGATTTTCCTAGAAATTTCACAGTTTATGTAAATCTTTGGAAAAAAACAAAACAAAAAAAAAGTGACTGGCCACAGAGAAACTCTTCGTCTTTGATTTTGACACACGTCAGAGGGGATTTACGCACGTATTCAATAAAGAAGTGAATAATGTTCAGGAACATTTTGAGCACCGTCAAATATAAACATCGTTAGCTGGAATGCTAGAATTAATTTGTGACTATTTGCTATAGGCCTATGTATGCCTAAAAAAAAAACTTATGGCTACAATTTATTTATAATTAATACACGATATTTTTTATTTTTTCCAAGTTTGGATCTATATCACTAAGCTAGAATTTTCTATACTCTGAGTAGATTTATATATAGTCGAAACCAGCATTTGCTTTTCGCCGGAGTTGGTATTTGGTGCGAATAAAGAGTTTTTCTTTGTTTAGCATTGGTCTCATAAGGAGGAATTAAAAGACTTTTTTTTTTAAGTTACTTGTTTTTGGTTCAACTGGGTGGCTAAATTTTATACTTGAGAAAAATACATTTTGTGTATTTAATGTTTTCGATCAAGATTCGTGTAAACGTTTGTGCTGTATTTATATAGGGCCTAGGAAAACAACATTCGTATGTTTGATAATTGTCAATGGCGTAAGCCTTTCGGCCTACACTTTCAGAGAAATAACTATTTTTTTAATTTTTATTTTTTTTTACCAATGGCTTAGTCATTTGAATTTTAATGTTCAGGCTTGTCTCATGGATGCCTATTTGTGTGGTATGCGTTTCGAAATGTGTCATAGGACCCTCTCCGTTGCCATCCCCTGTCGTCATGGACTAGAACGTAGACCTGATAATTTTCTGAAGGAACGTGCCAAACTTATCAAATAAACGAAGAAAGCAAAATTTCGAAAGGAAATTAAAAGACTTGAGAATTTTTAATTATGTGCGTCTTGGGAATTATTAATTCGATCCAACTGAGATGTAGCTCTCTCTCTCTCTCTCTCTTTCACTCGCCTCCTCCTTTCTCCCTTTCTTTCTTTTTCAGTCTCTCCTTCCCCATAGTCGGCCTGCTTGTTAATGATCTTAAAACTATTGTACCCAGTCCATGTCATCATCAATATTTTCTTTTTATTTCTTTCCTTCCCATTGCCTCAACGGAGATTCAATGAACTGAAGAAACTAGGAGATGAATGATTAGAGAAAAAAAAGAGGGAGGGGGAGAACTAAATTTGAACAAACTAGTATTGTGGGTGAAGGAGGTCAGAGAATGGAGTGGCTTCAATGAGGGTGAGAAGGTTAAGGTGCGGGGAGGAGGACCATTTTACGGTCAGGAATAGCCCTTGATACACGCCCCCACCCACATACACACATGCTAACAACAGCCTGTCTTTCTTAGTTTCCGCAAACATCCCAGTTTCAATATCATATTGTTTCACCAGATTTTCTCTGTCCATTTGTCACCACGACGTTAAAAATATGATGATTCGATTCCAAGAAAATCTCTCTATTTATTAGTAATTTATCTATCAATGATTTACGTGCCTAAAATATGTTCATGTCATTTGAACTGGGTACTTTTTTTCCTTAGCAAGAGCAATACTGCTCTATGCATGCTGACACAAGAAATACTAGGTTTACTTTATAAACATCTTACGAGAAATGTGGATAAACAGTAGGGCGACTGAGAAAAAAAATTTATAGTCTTATTTATAAAATAGACTGTGTTATGGCTTCCGCGCGGTGTTGATTCTTTGAAATATAACTAGAATCTAGTGTAGATCTAAGTCTGATTGGAAGTAACACTGAACTCAAAACTACTTCAGTAACACCGGCGAAAGGCCGAAACAATCAAAATATGTAGTCGACGCTGATGTTGGTCTACAAATATATTTAATAATCACGAAGGGAATCGTCCGATGTCAGCTATGTCCGTAAACTACTTATTCTTTCTAGGATAGGAAAACGTCTTGTCTCTATCAAATCCTAGAGCGTTCTTGTTTTTAAAGATCTGTCATGTCACTTATCGCTAAGTAAAACTTTCGCCATATTCCCGAAACAAATACTAAATTCTAATCATGTCATAACAACTGTAACATTCAGTGAGACATAAAATAAAACATGTTCTGATTCATAAGTGGTTAAGGAGGGAAAAAAACAACACTTGGCTACTTATCAAGGGGACTCGAGCAGTTTTGTTCGCTGAGAGCCTAAAGGCAGCACGGAATCTTTCTCACAGAAACCCCCTTCCGCATAAAAGAGATTGGACCGTATCGCTAGTACTAAGCATGCTTCTGACATTAATGATGCCATATACAAAAGCAATTCAACAATTACATTTAAAAAATACTTTTAAAACCAATGCTTATATTGAGTGAAATTTCATCTGTTATTTTAAATCAATTTTAGGTCTAACAATAATACATTTGTGCTATTGGAAACATGTTTATGCTTAAAGAACACCCAGTGCACTATGGTCCAATCACTTTTGTGGACTAGTTGGAGTTGGGGGGGGGGGGGGGGGGGAAGTGGTAGCTGGAATGTTTCCACG